GGCACGGAAAATTTTTTGGGCATGCCTAGGAGGGCATGCCTTTGTCGAGGGCATGCCTCTCTGTGCCCCGGGCATGCCCTCTCGAGATATCATAATTGATTAATCTAACTTAAAATCAACTATGATTAATTGACCAATCAAATCAACGAAACTTTATACGTAAGGTTTTTCTAGATAAAAGAGTAGGGGCATGCCTTTTAGCCAAAGGGCATGCCCTAGGCATGCCTCCTTGGGCATGCCCCTGAGGCATGCCTCCTTGGGCATGCCCCTGAGGCATGCCTTGGGACACCGTGCCCCCAACCCTAGCTCTAGGAGATGAGTTTTGAAACTCAGGACAAATGATTTGCAAATTTGACCAGAATTAGATTGTCGTTCACCGTAAAAATTCAGTTGGAGCGCTGTGATCATTGAAATTAGGTAGTGTTTCGATCCTATTTCTGAAAGACCATCCAGATTATATTAAATCCGAATTGAATCTGTCAGATTATATATTAAAGCTAACTTTTGGGCGCATCCTTATGTCCGTTATTTAAGTTCTTTGTAAACATCTTTGATTTGGATAGTTGAGTTTATCTAGATTTAAGTATCAATTCAAATCTCGGATTACGGATTGAAACACTAAAATTAGGAGATAACAAATTGATAGTCATAATCGTAATATAATCAGATTAATTAGCTAACCTGCTTGGATCATTACTCATAAACGGCATATAAAAACTCATAACTTATCACCAGTGATCCGAAATTGGGTTATTCTAGCTAACCTGTTCGGATCACTACTCATAAATGGGATATAAAAAAGCGCAATTTTACAATCACTCAAATAAATTAAAGTAATCACACCATATTTTATATATTATTGGCTTAGATTCTATTTAATCCTATCGTTCAATCTAACAAGATAAAGCATTGAGCAATGTAGTGAGTTTAGTTAGTATAGTATTGTAGTATGAGAAAATAAATTAATTTATACTAAACTGTTCATGAGATTACTACTGTTTGGTGAGTAATATTCTTCAAATTATTTTATTCAGAAAATAAATATAAAGATGATTTATTAATGTAAGTAGTAGAATTAAGATCATAATTATAAATACTTATCACTAATTATTAAATACTTATTTACAATTAATTAATTACTTAATACTCTTTATTCAGAAAGTGAGTATAAAGATGATTCATAATAGTATCTCACATTCGATAGGGCAGGATCTGGATATATAGAGATAGAGCCCAATCCAAAATTTAAGCTTCAGGTTACTCGCCTGTTTAAGGGTAGAGTAAACGTAGATCAATTTTCATATGTAATCTGTGGTTCATCATTTTCGTGTAACATACATGGAAATCGAACCCCAATATTTAATCTAGAATATTCTATGTATTCGCTGCATACAATACAAGCCTCGATCATTCGCTTTGGATTTTAGCCTTCATATCCCCCGGGTACAAATCAAGTTAGCCAAGGTTTTTTGATAATGTATACAGCACTCTATGGTACGTACATGAACAAAAGACCTTTTAGTTCTTAGATTTAATGTTGTTAGTTGAAATTATTTTGACATTTAGGCATTTAGGCAAATTGAATTTAGGCAATTTTGACTTCGTTATTTTTTTAAAAATTACTATTAAAAAATGAATTTAGACATTTAGACATTTAGACAATTTAATTTAGACAAATTTTAATATTAGCAAAAACAATTTTGACTAACAACATTACTTAGATTCAAGCATTGTGGTAAAGTATACGATACAAAAACGTAAGTAGAACTTCTTTACTTATTAATTTTAAAGATCAAAAAGTTTTTATTTGAAATATACAAACGTACATAAAAAGAAGTAAAATTGTAACTAAAATATCATTTACATTATTTCTTTAACCAGTAAGACCACATTTCCTTTTGTGCAAGTGATTCTGCATTATCTGCCACACCTTCTATGATTATGCTAGATATCAGATAATTTTTATTTGTTTTTCGTTTAAGCAAAATTGTCTGTTTAATCAAACCATGATGAACTAGATCCATTAAAGCTAATTTTGCTAATACTTTTATACATAAATGCTTTGGTTTTGGGTGATTATCTATTAGTTTTAATTTTCGATCTCGAAGTCTTTCATTATCTAGGCAACAAAAAATTTCTACTATGTCTAAGGGTATTATTGGTTTGTCATTATTTTCATATAACAATTTTACCACCTTTATCAATTCTAAAATTTCTAACTTTACATCTGTTTGTTGCACTTTATCATCTGAATGCCTGATACAGTTATCACAATGATTACAGTCTTCTAGAATTGGATCCCCTGACTACTGATAGTATTGCGACATTAGCTGAAGCTGGCATTCATAAGAAGTAATACAATAGTATATTACTTCAAATAGCTTATGCTGTGCTTCGGCCAGGTAGAGTTCTCAAGTGTTAGTCTTTTCATCATGACCTTCTTCACTATAAATTGAATTTATTTTAGAAATATTCAACGAAACTTTTACATTAAAAAGTAATAATACCTCTCTCTATTATCTGCAATAATGATATAATTTGTATGAATGTCCTTCTTGGTATAGAGAATAATGCATTTGCTACCTTGTTGATCCTGTTCAGCCCAATCAGATGCTTGGATAAGACTAACTATTTATAAGTATAATATATTATTATTTTTTTTTAATAAAAATTGTACGCTAATATATATACTTACTCATATTCATTGGGAAATTATAATGCAAGACTAGACAGACATTAGGCATATCAATATCTAAACCAAAGGCTGAGGTTGCAATCATTAACTATATCTGGCCTTTATTTCACTTTGCTATCACGTCTTTTTTTTTGCTTTCTGGCAATTGCCCATTATATACGTCTAAAGATATTTCTTCCATTTTTTGATTTAGTATTACAAGAATATCAGAACAATTCTTAATCCCTGCACAATAGATTATAATGCGACCAGTTTTTTCTATACTTTTTACTAAACCAATAATTTGGTCTGCTCAAGCTAAATCATGTTTTTGTACTGAAAAACCTAAGTCCATGCATAATAGATCAGTGCTTTTTGTAATTTTGAAATAAGTAATGTTCAAATTATCTTGAAGAGTCTCTACATCATCTTGAGATAAAGTTGCAGTTAAGGCTATAATCTGAGCTTCAGGAAAGAGGTTTTTTAACATGCCCAAATTTCTCTATTGTTCTCTAAAAAAATTTATTTTATTTAATATCTTTTTTTTTATAAACTATTTTTATTTTTATTTTTTTTTCTCTTACCTAAAATAATGAAATTCAAAAATACAATGAGCTTCGTTGATTACAAATTGTAGCTTCTTTTTATAATATAAGCAATTGCATAGCTTTTTAACAGAGTTATTAAGTAATAGTTTCTCTGGAGTAATATAAAGTAAGCAGGTAAATCCAAGTGCTATCTCTTTAAAGAGTCTTGCTTTGTATTCGATTGTTCTCTGAAATGATATAAGCAATCCACTACATGGAATCCCTAATTAGACAAATTGATTCTAAAGATAAAGTTGATTAGATACTATTTTTTAATATTCAGTTATAAACACTTATACTAACCACTTGGCTTTGAATCAAAAATTTTAATAGCGAAATAACAACTGTAAGTCCATCAAAAATAATAGAGGAGGTAGCGTAACAAAATGATTTTCTACTATCTGTTTTCATAATTACAAGCGTATCTTTTTCTTCCTCTATATAATATTTTATAGCATCTATTTGTCCTGATCTCAATTCAGAAAATTTAAAAATTTCTTTCACAATTATTTTAACATATTCTTTTAAAGTAGTAGGGTAGTTTGTTTCATCTTCTATTATTATATTCGAATTTATAAGCCTCTCTTTCTAACCAAAAAGTTGGTATATATAGCATAGTGAGCACAAGCCCTTGGAATGCTTTGAAAAAGCAGCACAACAAATACATTGTACAGTTACATCGAAGTCATTAATCGATGAAGCAAATGATGGATAAAACTCATTATCACAAAGTCGCTTCTCTGCTATCGCCTTGTAATAAACTAATTCCTATATTACATAATTATTATAATAAATAAATATTTGAATTTTCAAAATCACAATTTAATACGAATAATTATTTACCTTATCAAACTTGAAGCCCTCTAGTTCCTTGTGTTCATTAGCATATTTTTCAGCTCATGCTTAATTACGTTGTTGTATTTTATCCACATTCCACTGCAGTTTTTCAGAACACTCTTTTTCTATTATGCTAATATTTAGCAAGTCTTCTATCTCAAAAGGCTTTTTATTGTAAATTTTCTGAAGCTCAGAAAATAGATAAGTATATCTTTCATTGTAATATAGTACAGCCATTGCATGACGTGTAGCATATGACTGCTAATAATCGATTTTTTTATCTAGATATACAAGTTTAACCCTATTGAATGCTTCATTCTGTGACGTTCTATTGAATGTGACAATTCCTTGACTACGTGGTAGGTGAAAAATTGTTTCAAGAAGTTCTCGAAATTCATCAATTCTTTTATCAGATGAATTACAAAGAGTTGGTTCTTATAAAATAATTTCTGGATCGTCTTTTGTCTAGCATATTCTCAGTCAACAACCTGAATAGTTATTTTGTATATGATTTATAAGGCTATCTAACTGCATTTTTCGTGTCTCCATTTCAGACAGTGCATCAGAATGTTGTTCTGCTTTTCATAAGGCTGCCAAATAAATACATTTACAAAACCAATACATTATATGGTTTTCAAATACGTGAAACTGTGCATTTTTTTATCTAAAAAGGTATTTATAATTAATATTTCTAAATATATATATATATATTAAAAATAATACTTACTAAGTATAGATTTTCTAATATTATGAGTTAAGTATTTTAGATCAGCATAGATTTTAGTTACAATAGGTATGTTTGCAAGAGTCTTATTCGAGTCTAAATCTCTATTAATGCATATTTCTAAATGTAATTCAGCATCTTCTAATAATGGTGTGATTTTGTTTAATACCTTAATAAGAATAGCATGTTCCATTTGTCTTGAGGTTTTATCAAAATTTCTCTTATGAATTGTTTTATTAAGTTCTGATTTTTTTTCTTTCGCGAATTTTGTCTTTTCAACTGTATAAAATGTGACAATTGGCTTATGGAAATAACCTAATAATAAAACAATTAAAATTAGTTATAAGCTAATTAATATTTGGAAGTAAAACAATATACCAGGTAGTATTTCTTGATATATTAGTTCTCCACTAGTCTGGTTTGCCTTTCGTATATGAGACTATGAACAATCAAACCTCATAGCTAGAGCTTTTTTGCCTAGTAATAGAGTATGTTCGATACATTTTTTTAGAGCTTCTTCTGTACAGAAGTTAGCTACGGTTACAAGAGAGTCAAAGCATACTTTTTGGTAATGATAATATGTTTTATTACTTATTTAATTTGTAATTCCTATTATCGCTAATGAATTTTGAACTGCATTACAAGATATTCTTCCTGCAAGTTCTGAAACTGTTATAGCTTTTGTTAAACTAATGTCTTGAGTTTCATTTGTATGTTCAAAGATAGTATCACATTGTTCGTATTCTATTGTGCTTTTGATTTGAAATCCTACTATTGTTATATTCAAAATTTTATTTTTAAGACTGCTATTATTGCAATTATGATATAGTTGCATAAGTACTAACGAAAGATATTGTTTTGTAGAAATTAGTATTGTAGAACCAAGTTGTGCAGATTTAATTGCATTTGTAATTTTTGATTCTAACAAATCTGCTTCATTAAAATCAATATTTGTTTTTTCTAATTCTTCTTCTAGTTGTTCTATTCACTTTTTAAGTTTAATTATTTTTGATTAAAACTGTAAATTTTTGCATCACCTTTTTTATATTCAACCATCAAAACTTAAGTAGCGTCTGGAGGTAAAGTTTTACCTTCTTTTTCTAATATTATATTATATTTTACTAGAATACTCTTTGTTTTATTTTTTTCTATTTCATCACTTATTTGACTTGCTGTTCTTTTTAAGCTACTAAGCAATAGGGCTTGAGCTTTCATCACATTTCTTACTTCATATGCCTTTGGAAATAAATTGGGATAGTATTCTAAAATGGCTCTTTGTAAAAAGTTAATATTGTTTGCTTGTAAGAATCCAAGCAGGTAAGGTAAAGAACATTTTTTATTTGAATCAAGCTTTTCTGCTATTAGCATTCTAAAACAACAGTAGTCATGGCCCTATTCCAATAGTTGTTAAAAATTAGAATCGCTCCTATAATTATTCTACTAAAATTTAAGGCGAAAGCTTTCATTTATAATACTAAGTTTCCAAATTTTGTCATTTATTTTAAAGAAAACAGAATATTCAGGTAATAAAGGAATCCACTCTTCTTGTCTAGGTCTAGTTTGTGGCTTATAATAATAGTATCTAGCTATTGAAGGAATGTTCTTCTCTGAGACTTCTTGAAGTGATTCATGTAGAGGCAAGACTTCTAGTTCTGAGTCAATTTCTCGAATAATGCTTACGCCTCTTGAATTGTCTATTAGGATTCTTTTGCCAGGTATTTGAGCAATACATTTATCAGTCCACTTACTCATTTTAGATTAATAATTAACAATGATGAGTTTAGTGTTATACAAAAATAAAATTTGATCATTAAGTGATTTAACGATAGCACAATAATTAGATAAGTGTGAAAATTTAACTTATAAATTGTTTACAGTTTGAATTACTACAAACTTATTTATTTATTTATTTATTTTTATATTTTAGAAACAGATCGAAATCTGAGAATACTTTTGTTGAGACAAAATGCAAGTCTTTAAATATATTTGAAGGTAATATAAATTATTTACTATATTGTCTACAATTACCTTTTGTTATTCAAACATTTGCTACAAATATAAATATACACCTTTCTTTTAATACTAATAGGATCTTCTCTTCAGCGCCTTTATTTATATTAATATTTTCCTCAAAACATTATCCTTTGTACTTTCTGTATCTTTATCAGTGGTATCATTCCTAACACCTTCTTATCATATGCCTATGAATTCATCAATATGCCTCCGTATAAATGAGCTGAAACGGTATCATACATATTTTTTCAACTATTTTATTCGTAAATCTAATATCAAACGATTGCCCTATACATCAAATTGAGTATGCATTGCTATTATATTAACAGACAAATAAAGGCTATGTATGAATAATGACTATATAAAGTAATAATATGATATAATAATATGCATGAATAAAAAATAGGAAATAACTAATACACAGGCAAGAATAAGTAATACAAATAAAGGATTACAGGGATACAGGTGAAAGTTTAGATGAAGATTAGTATGTACGACAATTATAAATTTTTGATATCAATCCGTGTGATATAGTACTGATATTGATGGCTTAGTCATATATTATTTCTTTTTTTTTTTTTTTTTCTTAATATTCATTTTAATTTTTTTCAGAAGACAAACATTCTGAATCTGAGTTTAACAGTATCTGGGATTTGTATAGTGCAGTATTTAATAAGGTAAAGAGTTTATATGGTAAAAAGAGAACCTTTTTCTGTTCAAATTACTTAATATCTTTGAATAGTACTTTGTGGTAATGATCTATAGACAGGCATAGTCACTATTTGAAAAGCACTTCAATAAAAGGAATAGACTATTTAGTACATACTTTTCCAATTATGCATCTTCAGATATTTGATATTTTTAATTTAATTTTTAACAGGAGGTGATACTGTTCTAAAATCTTGAAGATACGATTACGATAGTTAAATTTTTAGTTCAAGATAGTAATTATAATTTATAGAATTTTTTTTCTTTATATAATATTTATTAATTCAGTTTAAATTTTATCTGATAGCAATTATTTTTTATTACAAGCTTGCTTCTAATAACAATTATGATAATTGTCATAATTATTAAGACGATAATAGCTATCATTATCATTATTATTTATTAAAATAATAAAGAATGCTTGTATGAGTCTTAGACACATAATGTAATTATTATAATAGTGCTTTTTTATTGATAAATTGAAATAAAGTAGGCACTTAGTATAACTGTAATGGCATAAATTAAAATAATAAAGTTGATTTTTATAATGATTTAAAATTTGTAAATTCGAGAAATAACTTATATAAATAAAACTTATGAAGCTAACTCAATAATAACTTTATTTAAAAACAAGATTTTAATAATTATATGAGAAGCTACAAGAAAGCAATTAACTTATTAATATAGATATTTTATGCATTACAAAATAGCTGTCATTGTATCATTTTCAACAAACATGAAAAAATATTTATTTAAAAATTTCTTATCCTTAAAATCAATTTCCCCAACCCACTTAATTAATTTATTTGAATTCACAAAATCAATACTACCTACAACATATATATATTCATATATACAATGATAATAAATATATACTCTATTTCATCTTTCAACTACTCAACTCGCCTATATACTGAAAACAAAAAAATTACTAATATTTGGAGTAAAAAATGGACAGAAAAAATAGAGTAGATATTGGTAAAGAAATTCATATGCTCATACTTATGCACGTTTGAATTTGTCAGTACTGACTGGTTTTAATATTAGAGTTCGAACAATCTCTAGTTGTTATTTGGGAAGGACGGGATCAAAAAAAATTAATAATTGTTAGGTTGAGTGAAATAAGAAGGATAAATGTTACTATTTTTTTTTTATTATATACATGTAGTATTTTTAGGTGTAATCCTGTCTAGATGCTAGTACTGCTATATGACTTGAGTTGCACCTATATTTATATAAAATTATAAAATTATAAAGATTATGAACTTCGGGATCTTAGTTATTGAGTATATAGTATACGTGTCTTGAGACTACAGTAAAACCTCTATAAGTGCACGCTCTTGGGACTAAGCTTTAACAACGTACACTTAGAGATCAATAAGAAAAAGTGTATTTGTAGAGGGTATGTATATATTTGGGCCAGAACTTGCGTGCATTTAGAGAAGGTGTCTGTAGTCTCTTTTACTACATATAAGTGTTGGAAGGTAATTATTTCACTGATACTCATTTTATAATTTAGGGTTAGGCTTTAGCCAGTTTTATATTTTCAGTGAAATTATTGTCAGTGAAATAACATGAACCCTAAATATTATAAGGTTTTATTCGAATCTAATTAGATGTTTATTTATTCTAGAAATGGATAGAACCTCTTTTTTTTTTGTGTGACCTAAGAAAATTTGGGTCCACCTAAGAAAATTCTATGATATATATAAGTTGCTTTTTTTAAAATGCATGAAGTTCTAGAATATTATGACTATAAAGACAAAACCCTATTCTATGTGCTGTTACGTTTTGATAAAAATTGGTCACGATTTTAAAAAGTTTTATCAAAGATATATTTTTGTGGTACTATATAAATTTTATTATATGACGTAAATCATATGAAAATTAATCTACGTTCACCCTACCCTTAAAATAGCATTATCAGGCCATGAACCAGGTCATATCAAGTAACACAATTGACTCAGTTATTAATAATAAGACAATTATTTTTTTTTTCAATAAATAACTTTACTTTTATACCTTGGACATTTGAAGTGTGATTCTGATATTTTGGTACAATGATGGATAAGTAGAAATAATTGAGTCAGAGAATTTCAACTTAAAACCTTTAAATTTGAGGATGGAATTAAATGAATTCTCTTTGATAGATTATCCAATATTACAGAAATTAGCCAATAAGGATTTGGCACTGTATATTAGTGATCTGGTTAGATGTCATATGAAAAAATTAATGTAAGTAAAAATAATTATATAAGAGTGTGTAAAAAATTAAATACTGTAACACTAAGGACCCTAGCTAGTTTCAAGGAAATATTTTTAATTTTTTGAAGAAAGTAAGTTAATTTGTTAATAGTATAGGTTTACCCTCAAGTTTAAAAATTATACAAGATAAAGCATCGCACAAATGCAGGAAGTTTGGTTGGGTATTTAGAAAATTGAATAATCGTAACCAAAAAATTAATTTAAAAAATTTAGCAGGTTTCAATTTCTTTAGGTAAGTGCTTAATTTTGGATATGACAATGTATGTACATCTTTTCTTTAATCAGTTAGATCTAAACATAGAACTGAATTAATTGTTAACTTTATTTAGTTTTTTGATAAGAGAGAATTTAATAAAAATAATTATCTCTATAAAGAATAGTAAATTAGTTAGTGATGTAGTATATACATATCAGAACATGTAATATCAATTTATTGATTATGTAGTAGAATTTCATATTTCATATTTAATTTCTCTAAAAATGAGGACAAAGAGAATAATTACTAATCTACTAGTATAATGTATAATCTAGGTTTTTTTTAAGTCGATAACGTCAATAATACAAACTCTTCATATCATGTGTATTATTTCGAGATGATAGACTTATTTTATAAAAAAATGGATAATTATGAATACCTTTTGATTTTTTGTAAATTATGATGAAACATTAATGATACAATAAATATCATAAATAGTGAAAATTAAATATTTTTAATATAGTAAAAATAAGCTTATTTAATAGATTAAAATGGTAGCAAATGATTGGCTCAGCGAACCACAAAATACGTAGAACATCTTTAATTTTAGAGATTATCAATTAATCTGAACAGTAAAAAATCTGAAAGCAAAAAATTAAAAACGTAAAAAATTGTAAAACCTCGTTTTAGAATCGATATTAAATTAACCTTTTTTTTTAACAATTTAGTGTCAAATGCACAAATAGTTGTTAAGTCTCGCTAAACAGTTTCGCCTTTCTGCTGAGCTCTACTGAAGCATCGTAAGTTGAAGAGCAAGAGCTCAAGAATAGTCTATATAAAAATGCGATTAATTTCGTAATACGCTTGATCACCTTTTTTAGCCATTTTTTCTCTATAACGATAATTGGATCATGGCACAATCATTAAATTACATTTTCGCAAATTTACATTTCACAAATATGAATGAGCTTTTTTAGTGTGTTAATCGATATCTCACGTAAATAAACTACCGAATTGGCAAAAGTTTCAAAATTGATAGGTCAGCGGTTGTTGATTATGTTCATGATACATTTTTAGTAAAATATTTTTGACCTTTGAACGAAGATATCTCAATAATTACTTGACCAAATTCGATGAATTTTTTTTTTTTTTTTTTTGTTTTAATTTTATGGATATACGGAATTCAAATAAAAAAAATTCATAGATTTTGATCAGGCGGTTGTTGAGATATCTTCGCTCAAAGTTCAAAAATATTTTACTAAAAGTGCATCAAGAATGTAATCAAATTTTGAGTACATCACAGATCATAGATCTATCAAAAATGTAACCGCTAACCTATCAATTTTGAAACTTTTGCACCGAATTGTTATATTTGTATAACACTCTTCTAAACAATAGTAACACTACTCACTCAACACTTTGGTGAGACATTTAATATCTTAATGGAAAAGACAAATCGATCCTTTCCCAAATGAATAAGATGTTTGCACCAAGTTCATGAAATAAGTTTGAATCTGTATCATAGATACTAGTAATATATAGCAGCGTTTTATAGGGCTAGAGCCCTTGTTTTTTAAGTTTTAACATAACGTAACTTTATTTTAATAAACGAATATATTAATAATTTGTTTTATTCTTTTTATACATTATGATATTATCATAAAGATAGATGTATACAGTAGATACTCGTACGATAGGCGAATAAAAAGTATAAAGAACACCACAAAGAAGCAGTCTTGCGACCTTGACATATATATATATTAGTAATAACCAAATTTATTTACCATAAAATTATATTCTGAATATATTTATTATCTGTTCGAAGTAGGGATAGGAATCAATTAAGAATCCTAAATCGATTAATGATCCGATTAATCGATTACTCGGTTCTAAGTTTTTTTATTATTATTTTTTTATAAAAAAAACTATGCTATATTATTTTCTTAATGAAATCGTAGCAAATATTAAATAAAAGACTTTATACAATATTTTATAATATTTGTGGGTCTGTTTTTCTATAAATCATTAATTTGTTGCGATAACTAAAAAAAAAAAAAAAAAAAAACTTTTTTTCTAAAAAAAAATTTAGTAAAAAGTTCTGTTAATAAAAATTATATGTTTATAAGTTGAAACTTTAATGAATAAAATATTTACATTATTATTATTATTATTTGCCAATAATAATACTTTATTGTTTGCTGATCTTGTCTTCTTGTTATAAAAGTTGAACTTTTTCATTTAATTACAGCCTTTTGTTCAGGCGTATCGGTATAAATTTTATGATCAAATTGCTGATTAAAGTTCCTACAGGGGATTGTCAACAAATCAAATCTATTATGATTGCAGGGGCGGAAACTGGACATCGACTAAATTCTTAAGAGTAAAGTTCTGAGATCTTACACTCCGCTCCAGCCCAATTAGAATTATCCTATGAACTTTCTTGGCTATTTCTTTATTTTTAGATAGTATATATATAACCTAAACTTGTAGTATAACTTTTCTAAAATAGATCTATAATTAGTAATAAAACATTCCTTGTATGGAGAAATAATTCGCGCATCAACTTTCAAAATCTATAATCAATGATTATCAGTTATTACGTACTCTGATTAAGGTTGCTATCAAATAATGATTCGTCATTAATTTTATAATAAGTTTAATTGATTGCAATTGTATATACATACAAAATTAATTTTTCGATATGCCTGAAATTTTTATGCGGTGTTCATGTAGACGATTTTTACAAATTAGAGATGTACCTCACGCAATATGAAAATTTTATCTCAATGCTACTTTGCGCAAATTGCTATATTTATCTCGCGTGAGGTACATTTACAAATATATACAAATTTCGTATATTATTTGATAATTGGACAAAAGACATAATAATTAAGAAACAATATCGATTAGAATTAATGTAAGTTTACAAGCAGTTACACAATGTGAATTATATTTTTTTTTTAATTTTTGGGGTCTGGCAAAATACGTATATAAAAAATTTATTAACGCAACACATATCTGTTGAGTAATTTAGTTATTTCAAGTAAAGGTACTATAAAAATGTTTAATATCAAATTTAGTATTTTAAAAATCCAATAAAAGGCTATTACATATTTCTAAAAAAAAAAAAAAAAAAAGATTCATAATAATTTCCTATTATCATTATTGTTTAAACACTTTAACTATTTTCCACTAAAATCTTCATTAAAATTATTTTTAGAAAAAATTCCTTTCGATATCACAAAGAAAGAAGAGATAACTAGATATAAGTTCTATGAAATTGAGCTTTAGTTAAATAAATTAAATTTTGATAAATCTAGAGCTAATTCTAAGAATATCATATGATTTGTAGTATGATGAACAAGACTGAAATAAATTTTAGAAATTTGAGGACTTGTTAATAATATATATATATTTTTTTTAACTAATTTAGTTAATCATCAAACTTTGGATTATAATCGAATAATTAAATAGACCTTATTAAATTCCTATAATACTAAAAAAAAGAAAAAATTATAAATTATAAATTTGTAAATTATAGAAAACAAGGTAGACTAGTCATGGCAGAAAATGTCTCGAATGCCGAATACGTAAGCTTGGATCTTTTCGATATTTAGTTACTGCAACTTGATTAGTAATCAAATCAATATGGGGTCTTTACCTTAAAAATGACCTTAAAATAAATCTTATAAGTAAAACAATTTCAAGGCGACATTTTTCTGCCATGACTAGTCTACTTGTAGAATAATAAAAATAATAACAAAAGGTGAACTAGGCAATTATACGGTAGTTTAATCTTGGAGAACACTTTGTACTGTTGATGTATTCAATGGCAATATTTTCATGAGCATCAGACGCTGGGCTTCATTAGCCTATTGGTGGTATATTGTGTAAATCGATTGATATGGATCGGTAGGAACGTTAAAAGGCAAGGGTGATTGAAAATCATATCCCGATCCAGTAGAAAAATTTCCTTGAATGCCATTGACATCGTTATCAGTCAAGGAATAACAATTCCAAGGGGTAAAGTCGTCGGTTCTATTATTTGAAGTGATGTCATTAGATGGGGAAACGGCGGCAGAGGGTTGAATAGGTGTATTCGATGTAGAATTTTGCTCATTTCCTTGCAATTTTGAAAGTTGTTCTATTATATTATTATTTTGCCGGACATTTTAATTATTTATATTTGTTATTACGTATATATTTTATCGTATTATCATAATAAAAAATTTTTTAATAATAAAACCAATACTGCAATACAGTATATTCTGTGAATCCGTCAAATTACCAATAATGATAATTGTCAGTTGTGAATCATGTGGGATCTTTGCCTTGACAATTCAATGAGATATAGTAAATCATATGATCGAAACTTCAGGGCAAAGATCCCATATGGTTTTACTATTTTATTATATCAAATACCTGGTGTAACTTCAAATCTCAAATACATTTTATCGTTATTGTTATCTTTAACCAGTTCGTAATTGGATTCAACAATGGATTTTAAAACGCGTTTTATTTCCGAATCCCTTTTTTTTTTAGAATTATTTGGTTTTGGTCCACGTTTTTTCTGTTTATTAGGATAAATACAATTCAATTTTTCCTTAATACATCTTTGACATGTCTGATTCAAGGTATCAGATTTACATTTTCTCTTTGATCTTGAACATTCAATACAAGCTTTTTTCGTGTATTCTCTTGTCATTTTTTGTTTAAACATGTCATATTGCTTTGAAATGGCATTGTCTCTATAAATGTCACTTTCGGGAAAATTACCAATTTCCCGCATCTTATAGGATGGAAAACTATCTCCGTAGTACTACATGTCAATTACTAATATGGATATATAATGGAATTTTCAAACGTTATGCACACAAGTTATTAATACTTTGTATGATTGATTGGTAGCGATAAAAAGTATCGAATAATAGTTTTACAATAAATTAATTGTATGAAAAATGAATGGAAAATTCTTGGATTTCTATTCTGATACGTAACATTATCGTTATTCGGCAAAATCCGTCAAAGTTTAAAGTCGTCGTACAATACAAATTAAGGAAATAACATACCAATATACGTACCGGTACTACGTAAATGGAATTCTTTTTTATTATAAATTTCCGTGTATGTAACTTCATTACATATAATATAATGAATAAATCCATACATGCTTGTACTATATCTGATATAATATAGGTCAAGATATAACGATAACGATAAGATATTCAGATTTATATGCATAATATTAACCAATCATTTTTAAATCTCGGATCTTGTGTTATACTGATAAGTTGAAGAAATACGTACTACTTTGTTATCTACCGCTACTATATACAGATATACCCCACATAAAGTCTTGGCTAACACGCAAAACCCTAATTTCAAACCATCCTATAGTATAAAGATTTGAAAGTAGCATAACTTTTATTCCGAATCAGAGTACATTTACTTGTACGAGTGATGCAAAGAAAATGGTCAATTAGCATGGAAAAAAAAAAACAAAATATAAGAAAAAATAGGTGTCTTATGGTGCTAATTAAAAATGTGAATAAAAATTTACATATCAGTCATACGATTTGTCACACTTTTTTTGATAGTAAATTTTTTTAACAATATAATGTAAAATTTTATTCTAAGCAAGTTTACTTAAAAGACAAAAGTAGATTATCTTAGTGTTAAGGTGTTAACTTTCATTTATTTGCTTATAACTTTTGAACCAACGGTTCAATTTGAATAAAATACATACCATTAGAATCCTCTCCCCAAGACGAATTCAACGGGCTAAAAATCTTTCCGATCTGATCACTGGATCTCGAGTTACCGAAATTCCGAATCGTGTAACATAACTAAAAGATATGATTGGTTGATCATTACATCTTACTAAGTCAAACAGGTAATAATTGTTAATCACGTAACATCTGTAAAAACCATCAAGAATGTAAATACGGAAAATATGGTAAAATTAGTTTATCATGTAAAAGATGGGAAATAAGAAAAATAAGTAGTAATGGCAATTATGTAACAGGCCAAAAGTTATAAAAGCTTTTTGGTTTTGCTCTTGTTAACAACAACCTTCAGGTTTCGAATATTTAAAATATTGAATAAATAAAATTGATCCTTTTAATTAAATAATTAAAACTCCATTCTTTATTAAGTTATCTTTACAAAGTTATATTGTTAAATAAATTAGTTGCATAAATTATTGCTTTTCCTTATTCAATAAAATCTCTGATTCAATAAACTTGTAATTCATGTAACCTACATCAGTGGAACTCTTGCATCATCAAACCTAACCCTTATTAGTTAAATAACTCTTTGTATAATTAAAGAAATAAGTTGATGATTAATAAAGAAAGAAACAATATAGAGAAAACTATAAGATAAGATAGAATTTATCTTACTTGACCAAATCATATACCTTAGCTAAAAGAGCCTTAACTGCTTAGAAACTTGATTCTGAACTAACAGCGTCAGATAATTTAGTTGTTGTTTGTCAATTGATATTTCTACTAGTAACAATTTGGTAGTGATTTGAGATCAATATGACATACTTTTCTCCTTCTAAAAAAAAAGAAAAACAAAAGAAAAATTAATAAAAGTAAATCTAAAAATAAAATAAGATTAAATAAACAAGAAAGAAAAAAAAAGAAATATGGAAAACAATAGAGCTTTTAAAAGAATTATTGTAAAAAATAATTAGAATAAAGCAGATAATTTAGAAGCCTAGAAAGATTAATTTTTTAATAATCAAAGGTTAGAAGGCACTATACAACAATTCTCTAACTAAATCTAATTGATTTTCTAAGAAATTGCTTAAGTATTTTGTCAAATAACAAGAGCTATTTATTACAAAAGATTTTAAAAAAGAGAAAACAATTAAGTTAGAATTAAAAATTAAGGTCCAGCGATCTTAGTGTAGTAGTTAGGTTGTCAGACCACCATGTAAGAGGTCTGGGGTTCAAATCCCACTGTCAATGAATTTGAATAATTACTCAGACCTTTGTATCCAACTTACAGTAAACCCTGTCTGTTTCTGGAGTTGTAACTCTATAAATCGTGTTGTACCAATATCAATCGGGTATTGGAAGTGTAACAGAAAAGTCAGGTCTGATGTAATATTACACGAATAAATCTTGATAAGATCTATGAGCAGGGACCTGCATGGTAGAAATCTCGAGTTAGGTGATGTAGTATGGATTTCAACAGTCACACTGGCTTGACGCTCGATCTGGAGGAAGTCTAGGAATGAAGAATGCAGACCAAGTAGGTAGGAGTAAGTCCATAATATAATGGAAAAGTTAAACGTGATGTAATATTACATGAATAGCAACACCAACCTAGCTTGGCGGCTAACTGAATTTGGGAGGATCTATCTCGTAAAACATTTGGAAGAACTAGACCAATTTGGTGGAGAGCTACGGAAGGAACTAGGTTTGTACGAATACTGATAAGGGTATATGCTAGCTTAATTGGGATATAGCACAGCATAGTTGGGGTCATCCGCAAGCCATCACCAGAATGGGACACAGGTGAGTACCTTGTGATAGGGCCAGTTCTATGAAGTCAATTTGAGGCGCAAGTTGGTCTGAGTGGTCCTCAGATAAGGCAGCACAAGATTAGCATAGATAAATAAATATTAGGTTAAAAATAGAGTTTCACTGTGACGCCAGAGGGTTTAAATAGAGTATCTACAGGCAGATACTAGGTATGGCAATTAGTAGATAACCTATATGGCAGAACCTGTAAATAGACAATGACTAAAGTTGTACATATAGCCAATTGTATCCTCACTAACAAATGTAACTTAAAAATAATACTTAATAAAAATCTGCGGACAGCTTGTTGAAAAATAAAAAAAAAAAAAAAAAAAAAAAAAAAAAATTAAAAATTTTTATAGAAAAGATAATAAAGATCCCATAGAATAAAATAAAGCCTTTAAAAGAGTAGCAAATACAAATAATTAAACTAATAGAAAAAAGATCAGGATAGCTTCAGAATATCTTGTAAAAATTGTCACTAATATAATAACAAAAAAGAAAAATTAATATACTAGGATAAGAAAAATAACTAAAACTATAGTTTTGTATCTGAGTTTATTAAATACTTTGCTATCTAAAATTAACATCAAAAATAGTAAATAGATCTAAATAACTTCATACAAAAGGAAGAGAAAAAAGTAAAAATATATGTATATAAATTCTAGCATTTATTAAAAAGAGTAGTTTCCTATAGTAGGTTACCTGCTACTTATGTTATTAGAATATTTATGAGAGAGTTTAAAGGGAAAATAGCCTCTCTGTTATTAGTTGCTAGTTTAGATAGCTTAGAAAAAGTTATTTTTGAAGCTTGTAAAATAGAAGCAGAAGAATACTATAGAAATCAAATAAGTAATCAACTAAAAAATAATAATAAAAAAAAATTAGAAAGTGAAATTATAAGACTAACTAGACTAATACAAACTATAATAACTAATTATATATAACTTATTAATCTATTTGCTATTCAAACTAAGATAAAAAGCCTAAGAGTAGAAGTATTTACAAGACAACTTAGAAGTATTACTTGTTATAAATATAGAAAAAAAGATCATATTATCTAGAAATATCTATTTAAAAGAGATAAAGCCTCTAATATCAAAAGAATAAGTATCACATAATTTATAAGAATTTAAATACAAAAGAATGAAGAAATCTACTATTGTAATATTATAGAAGAAAAAAATAAAGAAATATATAATATTATAGAAAGTCACTATCTTTATACAAAAAGAAGAAGAAGAAACTTCAAATCTAAATAGAAAAATTATTTAAGAGTAACTAATTTCATTTAAAAAGAAATGCTCTTAGTAAAAATAGACAAAGAATATATTCTATCTCCTGATCTAAAACCAAACTCTGATAAAAAAAAGAATCTTCTATAGTTAATAAAATAAAGCCTTATAATATATTAGAGGATCTATTAAATATGCAAGTTTATATAATATATAGTCAATTACTCTAATATCCAAATTAGTGTAAAAATTTAATTTGAGTAATAAGAAAACTTTTTTCTATAGTAGAAAATAACTATACCTAGTTCTAACTACTAGTAAGAACAACTACTAGATACTATATTTGTATTAAAAATAATCTAGTAATAGCAATTCTAGATTCTAGAGTAGTGATCAGTATTATATAAAAAAATTAGCAGATAAATTAGATTTTACTATTGCTAAGCTATTTTTTACTATAGTTGTAACTACTACTAGAACTAGAAAAAGAACCTTAGAGTAGATTTTTAATATAAAATTAATAATCAGAAACATACTAATACTAACTAGTATACAAGTTATAAACTCTACAAATAAGATATCTTACTAAACATGAATTAGTTCTAGAAAAATCATATAAGAATATACTTTAACAAACAAAAGTTGTTTTTGTATTACTAAGAAAAAAGAGTTGAGATTAAAATTTCTAATATAGAAGATAGAAAATTAAAAGAACCTAAAGAAATACTTTAAAATAATGAAAGTGAAAAAAATTTATTTGATAATTTTGAAGAAAAAAAAGAGCTAAAAGAGACTAAAAGTTATTATATCTAAGATAATATTACTAATATAGAAGACTTATATAAAAATCTTTGAGAAGAAATAGAAAGTCTAGCAGAATATCTTACTGCAATAGAGAAATTACTAACAGAAAAATTAAAACAAAACTTCACTCCTAAAGCCTTAAAGACTCCTACATTTAATCTGAATAATAACCTAGAACTAGATTAAAAAAAAGCTACAAAGATTTATTTATAAAA